TGGCAAAAACACACATACGCAAAGTCAAATAGACTAGGATAAATTGTTTGCAGTACACCTTTCAGAGACCCTCTAGCAAATATGCAAGTTTATTACAAATAATCCAACACGAAAATGGCCTTAAGGATATCAGCAGGTAGTCTACAAAAAGGAAGGGAAAATAGCCAATAAATATATGATTTTTCATCAAATTAACAATACAAATTAATAAGAGCATGGGAGTTAGACTTCAAGCTAATTTTTCTTGGTAAAACACATATCAATAAGCTGCCATTTTCAATTATAAGATTCAAAAATTTTAAATAATGACAAGATAAAATGCTGGCTAATATCTAAGGGAATCACATTTGTTGTTATAATTGTAAGTTGTCACAATTTATACAAAAACAATCTTTGATTTTCTAAATTAAAATTAACATGTAAATATATTTAATATAGCAGTGACATCTTTTTTCAAACATGTTTGGCAGAAAGATTTTGCATCTAAATAGTATTTTAAATAATATTTACTGTAGTTACTTTCTTATTTACAAAAACTAAAAAAAGAAAGACTTGATAATTTAGTGATCATATTTTTTATTAATATATTTATTTATTTTGAATACCCATCCCTCCACCAGTGACCATTTCCCACCACCACGGATCCAAGTATCCCTCCCACTCCCCATCCCACCCTGCCTCTGTGGCAGGGCATTCCCTTTTGTTCTCTCTCTCCTATTGGGTGTTGTGGTTTGTATAAGAGTTAAGCCTGATTTTCAGGGAGAAACATTGGATGATTTACTTTCCATTGATCACTTTGTATATAGGGAGATGTCGTGTGGCCACTCACGCAGTTTGGAGTAAAAGTCCTGGTTCTCGCAATCTTGAGCTATGCTTGTAGAGGCTCATGGTCACCAGGGTTCCATCTGGAGGAGGCAGAATGCGGCACCTACCCCATCTGGGACTTCCCGGGTGATCTCGGCTCTTTTTGGGACCTGGTGCATTCGCCAGGAGCTGTGGAGCTGCCCAGCAGCCTTTCTTCTCTGCGGCTGTGTGCTGTCGATCATATGTTTTAAATTATGGAATTTTAGTCTATAGAATACTATGCAACCAAATAAATTGTTGGGTTAGGAACAGGCTATTGATGCAAAGGCTAAAGATTTTATGAACACTCTAGAAGGCTCTGAACATAGAGTGAGTTTATTGAAAGACACATGCTTGCAAATATATTTCCAAAGAGTAACAGCGGTAGGGTGTTCACCTTGCGTGCAGCTGGCCTGGCCGAGCCGGGTTCAATTCCTCCGCCCCTCTCGGAGAGCCTGGCAACCTACCAAGAGTATCTCACCCGCATGACAAAGCCTGGCAAGCTACCCATGACGTATTCAATATGCCAAACACAGTAACAACAAGTCTCATGATGGAAATGTTACTGGGCCCGCTCTAGCAAATTGATGAATAATGGGAGGAACGTGACCGTGACTCTGAGTGTACTGTATACCGAGTGTACAGAAATAAACTGAACACTGAGCACTGTCCTCCTGTTGTTCATCAATTTGCTCGAGCGGGCCCAGTAACATCTCCTTTGTGAGACTTGTTACTGTGTTTGGCATATCAATACGTCACGGTGGCTTGCAAAGCTTTGCCAAGTGGTGGAGATACTCTAGGTAGCTTGCCAGGCTCTCCGAGAGAGGCGGAGGAATCAAACCTGGGCCAACCAGATCGGCCACATGCAAGGCAAACACCCTACCCACTGTGCTATCGCTCCAGCCCACAGAAATAAACATCTTTGGAAATACATCAGCAAGTTTGTGTTGGTATATTGTATTCAGTCCAAAAGACCAATGAAAAAGAATGATCACTACCAGTCTAGCACCTGGTATTACTAAATATTTTTTGACTAAATTAATAATTTAGATTCAGTCTTACTTACACATATATCAGTTTTCTGCTTGGAGGGAATTTGTTATATCTAGTTAAAGTTATATTTTAAAAATCATAGAGATGATGATTTTTATTCTTCCCCTGAGGAAGCCAATTCAAGTAAATCAAACTACTATTATGATAATTCAGGCCTACATAGTATCATCAAACTAATTCTAGTTGAAAAACACACACCAAAAATATAAATGTCTCTACTGCTGCTTTATTTAGTTGGACGATCAAGGATTTGTGCACAGATTTTCTAACTTGATTCAATTCTCCGCCAAAATTGACTAGAAAATTCCCATTTCATGCAATTACAGATCTTCATTGCCTTTCATTATAGAGAATTTTCCTTAAGGAATAGGCCATTTTTGAAAAGACTAATTTTCAGAAATGATTAAAAAAATCGCAGCACCTCATCCTTTTGAAAATGGAACCTGAACAAAATTCAGAAACAGTAGGTAATTCACATCCTGATTAGGAGGATTTCATTATAGATCCATTAAAACCCACTATGCATAAATATGAGTCTGTTTCTTCTCATCATGTTATTTTTATCTTCTGATTACAATAGCTTAATTTTTAAAATAAACATCCTAATTCTTTACCTCCACTTTAATTATCCCTATTAGAACTGGAATTAGCACTGACTGTATGTGTTTTCCGAGAAAGTGGAGAGAGGTATCACTTTAATTTTATTCCCTCTTCTTTATGCATCTAAAGCACTTGTTCTCTCTTCAAATTGGGATTTCTTGATCACTCAGACAATAAACCGGGGTATTCTCTGCAGATCATCTATGGACCTATGCTTCCCATTATGGACAGCTCCACAAAGCAAAACGTGCACTGAATTAAAAGCGTCCCAGAAACTTCTTTCCCCATATATTTCTCTCATGCCTGATGCAGGACAAAAAGGTTGTGCTCTCTGGATAAGGGAGTTCACTGCAAAGAGGCAAGAAGGGTTATGCAGGCCAGTATAGCCCTTTCAGAGATGCAGAAATAACTCCAGTGATTTAGGAAGTGTTTAGGAACAGACAATTAGATAAAATACAAGAGTTTTGTGTAGATAGGGACTTTTTTCCAAGAGAGGAAAAATTCTATTTAAGTCTTCTCACCTGCCAGATTGAAAAGACACAAAGCTCTCCTGGGACAGAGATTGAAAACATGTAGGCAGCACCGAGTGAGGGGCAGACCGCACATTTTTCACTGGAGACAGCTATTTTCCAGAGATTGAGATTCAGAGAAAACCACATTAATACTTCATAATTAAAGAGTGAGATAGAACACAGAAATCCAATTGGTATAATTTCAAAGAAACAGACTTTGAACAATTGCAGGAAGCCTGCAAATGTTGGGATGCTGGCATTAAGTGTTGTATAATGAGGAAATGATCATCCTGGTGAAACCAGGCTAAACACCAAGTAGAACAGGGCACACGCAGGTGCCAGCGAAAGAAATTCCAGGCCAGGCCCGGAAAAAGGCTAATTTTTTAGCCATAGCTAATTGATGATTTCACTGAATCAGAACGAGGGATTGAAAGTTAATAGAAAAAGACCACAGGATATTCAATTCGTAATTTCAATATATTAGCATTTTGTTCATGTTCAAATTACCCTTTAATAGGTTTGATGTAATTATTGTGTTTCTGTTAAACTATGCATCTGTGATCATGATCTTCCTCCCCAGGTATAGATGAAATGGAGGCTGGCTTACTTGAGAGGGCTCTTACAGAGAAATCATGCAAATTGGTGTTTCACCAGAATATTAGCCCTGTTCGACCCATTAAAAGCCTTAGTGCTACACAGTGTTTTTCTGTGATGTGGTCACTACTTAGCTCTCTTGTCCACTTTATCCTTAGTTGCGTGGATCAGAAGATATAGAGAAGTAATGAAGTTAAAAGCTGAAATCACTTGTGTTCGTCAACTGAGGGAAGAAGCCACAAAGTTCAATTTCTAATCACGTTTATACATTCCTTAAGGCATGGTTTTAAAGAACTCACTGCTGTTTGTTAAAAATTCTGATTCCATAATATGCCTGGGAAGGAGCCCAGAAATAGGCCTTTTATACAAGAAGTACAGGTGAGGCTGATGCAGATGTCCTCGGCTTGAAAAAACAGTTTTGCTAAACCTCCAGTTTCTGAGCTATGCAATTTGCAGATGTATTAGAGGGTAAATAATTGCAACTTCGTGGCAGCCTTTTCCAGTCTATTTGCATAGAAATGAGCTGAGATGCAGATGTTGTCAATATAAGGTTTGTTGGGTTTTCTTTTTTCTTTTTTTCCTAGTCCCAGTTGATCTGTCATTCTTTGGGCTGCCACAAGCATTTTCCATACCCTATAGTGATGTTTTAATTTTTTTTGAAAATGCCAACTCAGATTGCTTTAAATATAGAAAGGGGGAAAAGCAGAAATTTTTTCCCCTGAAAATTAAAATTAATACTCCAGTTGCCACACACTAAGTTAAATAGACATGGAAAAGGGCAGTATGGTACAGTTAAAAAAAAAAGCCTATGATTGCAAAAGGTCAGCAAAGTGAACTGTAGAAAGAATCTGACTTCTGGGAATAATGGTAAATGGGAGGCCATTTGGGCTTTAGTCTTTCAATGAAGGGTTGTCACTTTAGCCACTCAAATTAACACCACCAAGGGCTGGAGCAACAGCGCAGTGGGTAGGACTTGAGCACTCATCCTGCCTTGCATGCAGCCAACCAGGTTTGATTCCCAGCATCTTATATGGTCCTCAGAGCACTGCCAGGAGTAATTCCTGAATGCATGAGCCAGGAGTAACCCCTGTGACCCCAAAAGAAAAAAATTAACACCACTACTGGCAAAGTACTAGTGTGTTCATAGAAAAATATGTATTCCTGGAATAATTGCAAAAATAGAAAATCAGAGTTTTTTTTTTAAAGAGATCTTAAAATAACCCTTGGCCAGATCAAGTATGAGGTCATACTTCTGGAGCTCAATTATGATGGGAATTGAGATTTTTCCTTTCCTAAATTTGAGATCTAAAAGACATTTTTAAAAATTGAAGTGCCCCCAAAAGAAAACAATTCAAAGCTGATTTTTAAGTTCTCTACTGCCTTCTTAATATCATTATTTTGTGAAATTATGGTAATTATCTTTTGGAATTGACTTGAAATGTGAGAATACTCATTGTCATTGACTTGATTATTTGGGCATAATTCTTGATCCTGGAGCGATAGCACAGCGGGTAGGGCGTTTGCCTTGCACACAGCTGACCCTGATTTGATTCCACCGCCCCTCTAGGAGAGCCCGGCGAGCTACTGAGAGTATCTTGCCCGCATGGCAAAGCCTGGCAAACTCCCCATGGCATATTCGATGTGCCAAACACAGTAACAACAAGTCTCACAATTTGTTGTGAGACGTTACTGGTGCCCGCTCGAGCAATTCGATGAACAACGGGAGGACAGTGCTACAGTGCTACAATTCTTGATCCAAAATAGACTACATGATGTGAAAAAGAGAGATCATTATTTATTGGTAAAGATCAACCCTTACTGACTGATCTAGATTAGTAAAATCTGCTATCAACCTTAATCTGAGCTGTAGTGATTTTTTTAAAAGCCAACACTTAGTTGGAACCTTACTGCCTCTATTATGCTGATGAAGAAACTGGTAAACTCTGAGGAGTAAAACACAGAATGAGGCAGTTGATGGATAGGCAGACAAGGTACAATACATAACAGGATGTTCTTGGTCCTAATCTTGAGGGTTTTGACAATGTACAGAAGTAGCTGCCTCTCCCACCACTTTATTCCTGCCAAGCAAGCTCAATGAACATAGTGAAACTAGACTTAAGATGTATTCTGCCGATATTAATATGTTAAAACTTACATCTACCTTTTCCTTTTCATTCTACTTCATTTTTCTCCATGTACTAAAATATATTCTGTGAAGTAAGGCATGGGCCATGGGCACTTCAGGATGGCACAGCAATCCATGCCATCCTTGGTCTTCTGCTCATGTAGCACCTATGCTTAGGCACTTAAAAGTGAGATGAGGACAAAAAGGAACACAACACACACAAAAGAATGTTCTTTAGGGGAAACAGTTGTAAAAAGTAGAACAAAATAGGCTTTTCCACTTAATGTGTTTGTGATCCTTTCTTTCATAAGGCATTTTTTCCTGAGCTTTTGTTTCCTCACTTCTAAAATAGGAACCAGTATCTGTTTCAGTGTTTGTCCTAAAGGATCAAATGAAATTAGGTTGCCAGATTTATGTTAATAAAAATATGTCCCATGCAATTTTTGGACCAGTGAATATTAAAAAATTATTATCTAAATTTTAAATTCATCTGACGTTCTATATATTTTTTGTCATTCCTAGAAATACCATTTGTTGAGTACCTTTCCTCTAGGTATTTTGATTATACTGACTATCAGTTTAACAGAAGTTGAAGGCTATTAACATTAACCCCATTTCACATGTAGCACGTTGAATCTTTCCAAACTTAGATAACCAGTAAATAGAGTGAAAATTCAAATCTGCTGTCTCATGCTGGTTTTTAATGAAAGCATTTTGAAATTGAAGTGCCTATGAGTGTTTATTATTACAAATGATCTCTGTTCACTGCTATCCTGAATACAACAAAAGGAACTGTAGAGAGCAATGGAAATATGAAGATGTAGAGGTGCCATCCAATGTGGTATAAAGCCTATGTTTACTTCTCAACATCCAGATTGATAGTTTCTTGCCAGGAAATCTGTGTTTCTAGGGATACCAAGGCAAGGGTGTGGAGGCTTTACAACAACATCACAGTATATGATGCAACACACGGGATTAGCTATTGGCAGGCGCATACAAAATCAGAGATTTATTGAATAACGGCCTCAAAATAAATCCAGTTATGTAAGCTACCATCTTTAAAGTTTTACCTTCTCGGTTATCTTCCAAATAAGCAGGATATCTTCTGTAGTGGTTATCATTGCCTATTAAAAATAACTTAACAATTATCAGGGATTTTTAAACAATTCCTTCTTTTCCTACTCTTTCCTTTGTAACCACAATTCCTCTGTAATTTAATTGTTGGTTTCTTGATGTGTTTCCTCAACAGCAAGCTTGTAGCATGAAGATGGTTAGCAGAGAAAAGCATTGAGGGTCAGAGTACTGAGGACTTAGAGAGAAAGGAAAGGAAGCAGTGAAGAGACTGAGATCAAGCTGGGATAAAATTGTTGCCAAGCATCCCTACCTAAGGGCTAGAGTGTGTGCTGGTAAAATGCAAGCCAGAGGTCAGGCAGAGGGTGACAAAAAGCTGAGAGCTGGGAAGGAGAACCAGCCCTAGCTGCTATATTCATGTCAGGCAACTTTTGTCTGCTACTGCTGGATAATGGAAAGACTTAAAACAAAAACAGATCAAGAAAGAGCTTTGGCAGCCAGAGAGATAGTACACACTTGACAAGCATCTGACCTAGAATTGTGCCCCAGTGCCCCAGCACCACAGATCATTCCCTGAGCACCTCATTAGGAGTGATGTTTGAGTACAGAGCCAGAGTAAGCCCTCAATCCTGCCAGGTGAGCACCAAAACCATATGAAAGAGGGGGTGGGGAAGAGAGAGAGAAAGAGACAGAGACAGAGACAGAGACAGACAGAAACAGAGTCAGAGACTGAGAGACAGAGAGAGACAGAGAAAGAGACGGGAGGGAAGAAAAAGGGGGAGGAAAAAAGAAGAGAAGGGAAAGAAAGAGGAGGGGAGGGAAGGAGAAGGGAAAGGAATAAGGGAGAAGAGGATAGGAAGGGAGGGAAAAAAGGGAAAGGAAGAGGAGGGAAGGATGGTTGGTTTATTGGAAACCAGCTGGCGGTTTGGAAGATGGAGCACCATCCTGAATGCAGTTATCTAGTGTACATGATCACAAGAAGGGTTCATATATATATATATATATATATATATATATATATATAGTAAAAGAACAGAGAAGAAAGGGTGGGTTTAGACCAATGGGAACTAGAATGAACAATTAAATCCCCTTGGGGAGGGTTTCTTTTGTTTTGTTTTGTTTGTTTTTCTTTTTACAAGACTTTGGCTCTGAATTCACAGACTTTTGGTCTCAAATGGGGCTCAGGAAGGTTGAAATATTTTGGGAAGGTCAAGAGGTATTTTATTGCTGTGAGTTTACAATTATACAAAAAGCTATAAAATAATAATAAATGTCTCTTGAAAGAGATTTATCAACTGAATTTACTATTATCCACTAAAGTAACAGTAACTATCTTTTGAAAACCTTATATTTATGAAAACTCTTGACTTCCTTATCTTTTTATTTAGAAAATAAATGGAATTTTATTCAAGAGATGTGAAAAGAATAAGGAAATAAAAGGGAAAGGCAGGGAGCCTCCCATGGTACGAAGATGAGGGGTGTCCCTAGACTTTTTTTTTTCAAGGGAGGGAGAGAGGGGTTGGGCAATATCTGGCTGTGTCAGGGCTTATTATGGCTCTGTGTTCAGGCATCAGTCCTGAGGGTTCTCAGGGACTCTACACAGCACCAGAGATCAAACCTGGGTCAGCTACCTCTAAGAAATATACCTTAACACCTATAATGTCTCTTGAGTTTTAGGCCTTTGATTCTAGCTGTCCAGTGGACTTATAGGTAAAGGTAAAGGCCCTCCCGTTGATCGTCGATTTGCTCGAGCGGGCCCAGTAACGTCTCCATTGGAGACTTTGTTGTTACTGTTTTGGCATATCGAATACTCTCGGTAGCTTGCCGGGCTCTCCGAGAGGGGCGGAGGAATCGAACTCGGGTCGGCCATGTTGGCCGCTTGTAAGGCGAACGCCCTACCCGCTGTGCTATCGCCTTTTTTTTTCCTGAAAATTTTCTGAAATTTCAAAAGTGAAGGGGAACAGTTGTAGACTGTTACTATTCAGAGTATAGTTAAAAAAATACAGCGTGATTAACTCTAAAATTACATTCTCTATATGCTAATTCATCAACAAATCATTTCAACATACAGTCAGGTCCTTTGGATTTGTTTGGTTTGGGGCCACACCTGGTGGTGGTCTGGGACAATACTGTAGCATGGTTCCTGGTGGTACTCAGAGAACTTTGTGATTTTGGAGATGATTCTAACTTCATCTCCACATGCAAAGCATCTGCTTAGTATGATAGAGATCACTCAATGGACTTTTCTAACATAAGGAGAAGCTATTCTCTATATTTACATTTTGGATTTTTTTTTTAAGGTAGGTAGGATGCACCGGCCAATGCTCAGGGCTTTTTCCTGGCTCCACCCTTAGGTATAACTTCTGCCAGGGCTCAGGGGACCATATAGGGTGCTCAGATTGAACCTGGGTCAGTCGAGTACAAGGCAAATACCCTACCCCCCCCTCCGATTCCTGGTTCTTTTAGTCAGTTTAAAAGAATTAGGGAGAGAACTCAGATCTAGCCAATTCCTGTGGGACAGAATCCTCACGGGTGGAAGGGTGGCACAGAGGAAACAGACTTGGAGGGGAAACATCCTTGCAAAAGCAAATTACGTTCTGTCTTTAAGGGACCTTAACATGAAAGTAATCCTTACCCAAGACCTAGTTGGGGATGACAATTTTGCTGCTTTATAGTGCTGCTTTTGGAACTTCTTGAAAATCTCACCCAGAAGTTGTTTTGTCCAATTGTGTTACTGATCCAGTCTCTCAGTCCGGGGAATAGGTCAGTCGTTTTCAGGATTTGTGTCTAAAACCTTGATTTCTTGACAAAAGAGAAAAAAATTAAAATAAAAGGCAAGAGCTCAAGAAACTGCAGGACCTACATCTCAATCAATCATCTTCACACGACTAGTTGTTCCCTGCTTGTGGTGTCTCTGATGTCTTCGGCATTCTGATGGACGGCATGACCACTGGTCACCTCTGTAGACTAGGCACTATCAAGTGTTCTATCTCCTATTTTCATGGTCTTTAAAATAATGAATTATTCATCAACATGAATCAATTAGAAAACTAAATCCTAGACATGCTAGTTCAGAAATTCATAGCCAAATATTAGAAAATTCAGAAAGTGTTCCAACTTATCAGCAAAAACTTAAAAAAAAAGATTTTAGAATAACTCTGACTTCCACAAAAAAAGCCCTACTTCTGTTAATATCCAGCTATAAATTTCATTGTGGATCTCGATGCATCAGGACCAGGTTGTTGTGCTATTCTGACAATGAACTG